CTACAGTTACTACTAAGCTATCTCTGCTACTAGTGGGTTCTGTATCACTAGGAATAGTCTAACATAAAATAAGCTTCTAGCTCCCTTACCCAAGTACCTCAGGTTCTGAGCAATCCAAAACAGCCAATGTCAAGGGGGACAGTCTGGGTGGCAATGGAAACCAGAACAAACATTTTGTATATCCTAAGTAGGAGTCATGTGCCATTTTGCACATTACCGATGCAGTGGCCTCCATATTGCCAAGTTTGATGCTATATTTTCAAAAACAGCAAACAATTTTGCAAAAAATGCATATCAGAGAAAACTCTGTTGAAAACAACTTTTTTGTATGCATTTAAATGCATATGATTTTGTATAGACTTTTTTTAAAAAATGCTATCTGGTGCAGAATTGGTATGGAGCAAAACTACTGTGGGGGGGGGGGGGGAAATGCAAACATTATAGAAAATGAAACATATTTGTCCATCTCCATGTAAGGAAAACCAACTGTCTGTTTTAATTCAATGCCTCCTGTTCCTTCCTCTTGCCTCTAGGAAGGTGACTTTTGCTTGTTTAGTACAGAGTAAAATTGTAGAATATTTTTTCCAAATTCAACATGCACTCACTGAAAACTCTTTGCAGTTTTTTTACCATTTGACTGCATGGTTCTTCCCTCATGTATGTATGAGTCCTTCACAAATTACATTTATGGCTGTCATGAATGTGTAAATTTAACCTTATTAATCATGTATTGAAAATGTTCATGAATGTTTACAGAGCCATAACCGGGAGGTATACATTTACTGGTGCAAATCGCCCAGAGTAGACCTTTGGTCTAGATGGGTGGGACAGAAATCCAATAAATAAATAAATAAATAATAAACCAGAAAACAACATTTGCTTTGCGGCTAATGATATTTGATTTTGCTTGCCTGTTAATGGGCATGTAGGCAAGTCTGCTCACCTGCATAGTTTGTGGCTTTTGCTATGCTTTGCTTTGCCATGGAAGAGCAGGAGATTCTTTTAGTTTAGTTTCATATAATAAGAAGGCATGTGTGCATACATATACGAGGGGTTACTAATAAGTATTGAGTCTTTCCAAGAAAAAATTGAGCTAGGAAGGGTGTATTGGCCAATTTGTCTATATTCAACGGTGCAAAAATCAACTACCTATGATTTTAACTTATTTTTCATGTTCAGGTCCAAAGTGAAAATGGCAGCAACTCCAGAAAAGTTCACTGTGGGAGAGCATAGGACCATAATCAAGTTCCTGTTTCTCCAAGGGAAAGGTGCAAGGCAGATCCATGATGAAATGTCACAAACTATGGGTGACAGTGGCCCTTCATATGCAACAGTTTAACATTGGGTTGTCAATTTTTAAACTGGCCATTTCGGTGTTGAAAGTGAGAAACCCAGTGGAAGGCCTGTTTCTGTCTCTGTGCCTGCAAATGTGAAAGCCATCCATGACATGACCACGGAGGACTGCCAAATATCAGCTGAAAGTATTGCTATATATCTGAGATTATCACATGAGAGAGTTGGTGCCATTATCCACAAGGACTTGGAAATGAGAAAGCTGGCAAGAAAGTGGATCCCCAAACTTCTGACAACTGCACAAAAGAGGAAACGTGTGGAATCATTGGTGGATGTTTTGGAATATTTTTCAAGAAATGAATCAGATTTCCTGGGCAAACTGGTAACTGGTGATGAGACATGGATCTACTGTTATGATCCTGAGACAAAGGAACAGTCTAAGGAATGGAGGCACAGTGGTTCTCCCAGGCCAAAGAAGTTCTGAGTACAAAGGTTGGTACAAAGGCAAATGGCAACAGTTTTTTGGGATAAGAAGGGAGTTCTGCTGGTGGACTATCTCCAACAGTGTTCAACCATCAATGCAAAATATTAGTGTGCTTTATTGACGAAGTTGAGGCAAAACATCAAGGAAAAACATCAAGGAAAGCTCTCCAAAGGTGTCATCCTGTTGCATGACAATGCCTCGTCACACACTGCAGGTGAAACAATGGCAAAACTGATGTCCTTAGGTTTTCAAGTGATGCTCCTTCCACCCTATTCTCCCAACCTGGCTCCTTCTGACTGTTATCTGTTCCCAAACTCAAAAAACACTTAAAGAGACAACGATTTGGGAGTGCTCTGGAGGCAACTAATGCTGCAAATGAGTGGTTACACCAGCAGTTGGAAGAATTTTATTTGCAGGGACTTAAGAATCTGCAGGACAGATGTCACAAGTGCATTGACTTCTTGGGGGAATATGTAGAATAGTGTGGCAGTTACAGCTTCCTAGCTCATTTGTTTCTGGGAAAGGCTCAATACTTATCAGCACCCCCTCGTATATATGAGAGGGAGGATATTTTATTGTTAAGTATCTTCCAATTACAACCTTTCTTTTCCCACACAAAATATCTCCAGAAATATGTCTTTTACTCAAAAAGAAATATGTTTATATAAAAATAAACTGAATACTTGAAAAAAAGACATATATGTGTTTTCTTTTCAACAAGATGGTAGGCTCTTGTGGTCCACTAGAGAATCCATACAAGCTTCTCCTCTGCCCCAGGAAACTGGATTCTGACTTCTTGGACTATTGTTAAGATATATTGCTGTGAATCAGCAAATTAAAAAGGGGGAGAATAAGAACATGAGTTAATAATGGAGAGAAGAAGGGTTAGGTTGGGTGGGTTGAGTAGGAAATGAGATTTTCTAACATTCATGTATCTGCTGCTCCCTCTGAAGTATAAAACTGGGATGAGAAGAGAGAAGTAAAATAGCTGATAATTTTTTTTCTGGATCCCAACCCCCATGGTAAGGCTCTATTGTAGTCACTTAACTTAAAAAGCAATTTAGCATCTACTTAACTGTTAAACATTTCCTTTCTTCAACTTAAATTTAGCCTAATTAGATTTTGGGTGTGTGTGTCTAATAACAATTAACTAAATGGTTAACCCATTTCTATTAATTTTCCTTTCTTTGAGCTTGGTCTGCCCTAAGGTTTCCAAAGCACCAGCTGAAATCTCATGGGATAACTGCTCTTCATCAGACCATCTGATGGGGAAACAACTCTCAGTGCAAATGGTGCTTCAAGAGAAGGAAAAAAAATGTGTACACTTGTGAGTCAATTTGAAGACTAAACATCAATTTCCATTTCTTCCCAAGTAGTGCTGGGCTATTTCAGCCCAGAAGTATTTGCATATGTCTTCTGCTTCTGCAACATTAGTGCATCAAAAAGTCAAGTTATACAGTACAGTATATGGAATTGGGTTTGTCATTCTATTTGAAACAAGGCATGGAATGGGACAGCCTTATACCTGTATCTAGGATCTATGCTGCCCAGAAGCAGTTCTGGCCCCTATTTCAACTTTTGCTTGACACATCCCATGACATTGCAAGGGTCTGTCTGGACCCTGGCCACAGGTGCGGGCCTGAAAATCTCTGTGGATGAAATGTCAACTCTACTCTTGCCCAAGTCTGGTTTGTATCTTCTCTGGCAGAGAAAAGACAATGCAAATGGTGATTACTATTTTTGCCCTTTCTTGTCACTGTGTGAACCACAGGGGATTTGTGGCAGAAAAGGCACTTGCCTCAAAATATTTGGGGCAATGCACCATCCCCTGCTTGAGCAATCATTTGGAGTGTGTGCCACAGGAAGGAAGTGAGCAACAAAGGCTACAAATTGTGTTTTAAAGTGTGCTGCTTATATACTGCCCCATAGAGATGTATTCTCTGCCTTTGTGGGCTATGAGGATTCTGCATTTTAATGCTTTAGCAGTTTTGATTCAAACATGGTTCACATTTTGCCTACAACCTAAGTTTCAATAGCTGCATCTTTTTTCAAGTTGAAAGAATGTATTTTAAGTATATGATTCTATGGTTTTTGAATAATTGTATGATTTTTGGCTTTAGGTTTTGGATTTAGGTATATGTGCCTACGGTTTTTGCTCACAAATGTAAGATTATCTTTAATATCTTCTGGATTTGCTATTTTTAAATATGGAACCTAGAAATGATGTAAATAAATAATATTAACAAGTTTTTGAGTTGCCTGCATTGATTAATTGATTGATTGATTGATTGATTGATTGATTGATTGATTGATTGATTGATTGATTGATTGATACCATCCATCTGGCCAAAGGTCACTCTGGGCAGTTTACAACATATAAAACCATATAACTAGAATAAAATCAATGTACAATCAATTGTACATACCTTTCCTGTTATTTCAAGAAATGCAGCAAGAAGGAATTTATCAGTGAAAGAAACACTATATCAGGAATTTACACCAGTACATATTGTCTCATGACGAGAACAGAGGCAGAAACATCATCCTGAGATTTAAAGATGGACATAAACCGCCAGTTCGACAAGTCATTTTTCAGCCGAATGGGTGTTTAGCACTTCCCAGCCCCGCCTCCTTCAGTGGGCACTCACTTAGAGGCTGTGCCCCAGGTTGCCTACTCTGCCTCATCCAGGTGCTGCCTCTGAGTGGGCACCTGCTGGAGGAGGCAGGACTGGGAAGTGCCAAATACCTGTTTGGTTGAAAAATGAACCAGCACAAACTGACAATCCAACAGTTCATGCCGATCTCTAATTATAAGCTGTTTGTGCTATCAATAGTAGTTTAGGTATGTATACTGAGAGGAAAGAACCAAGGCATAGGTGGTCATGGGCACCCACAGTATTTAGCTCCTTATATATATATGGCAGCATTTTAACAAGGATGTCTGCAGACACAGTTAATAAATCACAGGTTTTCAATCCTGGATGCCTAGTTTTCCCCTTACTTTCTGTTTGAGATAAGATCTTTCTCTCTCTCTTTCTCTCATCACAAATGAAATGTAGTTCTGGCTTCCCTCGGAGTCTAGGATAAGGAACACTCAGCAAATTGAGCCTGGCAACTCACATTTTCTATATCAATTAAAATGCAAATCAAGAAATCAAAATGAGCCAAATGAAATTTAATCTCTTTCTCCCCAATTTTATAGGCTTGGGGCTAAGACACTCACGTCCATCTGTCGTCCGAGCCTCCATGTGTACAAGGTCAGGTTCCTTGTCCAAACCTGCAACGGACCTGAGAGAAAAGAAGAGAAGTAAATCAACCTGGGAGGCAGAATGACCTAATGGTACACAAAGGTAATGGAGAAGAAAAGGAGAAATGAGGAAACCAGCTAGATTCTTCTGAGTTTAAAGAAGCTACCCTGAGATTGTTCTTAAGGTTTTTCTTCCTAATGTTTTGCCAGTCTCTGTGACCGGCATCTTCAGAGTTCTGACTTCTGTCCTCTGAAGATGCCAGCAACAGAGACTGGAACATTAGGAAGAAAAACCTTAAGATCAAGGTCAAAAAGCCCAAAAAACCTACAACAACCATTGTTATTTAAACTTATTCCCCTTTTAAAATCTCATCTTCAGTCTTGCTTTTTTATTGTCATTATCATCTAATAATCTCACACAGGTAAGGCTGACCATTTAGAGAAGAGCCAATATTGACATATCTTTTATTATGCAGTCAGGCAGTAGTTCCGAGGGGGAGATATGGAAGATAGTGTGTATGTCGCCTTCCCAGAAAAAACAAAAACAAATAAAGCAATCCCTGGTAAATAGGAGCAGTTGGATTGTATGTGAATGCCAAAGCTTGCAATTAGGATGCATTGTAGCTGACTGTTTCATGCCCTGTTAATACTTTGCAAGCCGGATTTATAGTGAAAACCTCCCTCTCAGCAAAAAAACAGATGTATCTGAACCCTAAAATGAAACAAATGTTGTAGCCTTGAGCAGTAAAGATTGCAAATATATAAACATTCTGCCTTAACTATGACTGGTAGGAACAAAACATACATAGATTACTTTGCAATTTATGGGGTGACTTCTTCAAAACTAATAAACAGGTTATATTAGGAACTGATTTTTGTTTTTTGTTTTTTTATTATATAAAATCCATCCATGTTGATTTAACATCATGCCACCTGAGTACAGCTTATATTCATTTGTTAAAACAACTATCATACACATTACACTCCTAATCTATATAATGTGCTTCTAACAATTGATAGAACAAGTCCCATGTTTGATAATATTATAAAGCTACTCCTCTTTTCTTTTGTTGTGCAGCTGAGCAGTAGAGTTTCCCAATCTTCGGGTAAATCAGATATTTGTAATGCTGCTGTTTAATGTGTGTTTCTTGAAGACAGATTATATCTGCTTTAGTTTTTTGTAGTTTTGAAAAAACATGATTTCTTTTTCTTGGTGCATTCAAACTGTTAATATTCACTGAGAAGATCCCAATTTCATTCTCCATCTTGTTTACTTGTATTTAGGTTTTATTGCCCTAGTATTCCTTTTTTCTGTTTGTGTTTTGTTCAAATCTTGTTCAGTATCTTTTTTCTGACTCTCTTCTTCACTTAGCTTACTCTCCTCTTCTGGAACTGATTTTTGTTGATAAACTTTCCCCCCTCAACATGGTGTGACCGGGATTTGATAGAGTAAATTGTAAATAATATATCCCTTTCCAGCCAACCAGGTAACATTCTCCATGGGACACTTCTGGTGTGATCTTGAGCTGCCCTGCTCCCTGCAGGATCAGGAGCCAAAAGATTTCAAAAGCAAAGAAGTTAAACAGAAATGTTACATTATGTTTGGATTTATGTAAAGATTTTTCCCCCAGCACCGCACTCTCAATTTGGAATTTCACTGATTTCTTCATTTTTAGCTGCTAAACGTTGTAATCCCATCAGAGGTTAGGACTGCAGGCTGGAGTTGTTTTAATATTATTTTCATTTATTTTCTAGCTATTCTGTTAGTTCTCATACTTGAGTTCTTGTAAACAAGGGGCTATGCTGGTTGAAGGGTTCTGGGAGTAGCAGCCAAAAAGTAACTTTTCTAAGTTCTGAGTTTAATTTTCTCTTAGCAGAATGCTGATGCTAGCTGATGCTGCAGGCGATCAGCTGCCCTCTGCAAGCCAAAGTTAAGCACACTGAATATCAGTGAAACAAGGGACGTATCTTTCTCTCTGTCAGAAATTGGTATTTCAAATGTGAATTGCACATTGACTGAAGTGTGTTATGAATCCAAGCAGTTACACAGAAGCCCAAGAAGACTCGTGCCCAAGCCTGACCCTAAAACTGCATTCTGCTTTTTCAAATGAAAATAACTGACAACTCTGGTTATGGAGTTATTGTTTTGTTGTATGTGTCAATGTTTGAACTATACGGAGCCTCTGGGGATGGGTTTTTTAAAGCTCCCTTTGATATTGCTAAACTGCCCTCTGAGAAAGCAAAGAGCTGCTCTCAGATGTTTTTGTGCTCATATTATCCCACAAGCTGAGTCACTCCCTCCCTAAAGTGTTATTTCCCTAGACTTCTTCATATATACACTTTTCTAAACACAGGGTTGGCATTGCCTGAATGTTCTGAGACCTCAACCAGCATCCTCAGACATGTGCTGTCACATTACATCCAACTTATGGTGAGGTATGTCAGATGTTCAAGAGTAGTTCACTATTGCCACCTTCCAGTGAACTTCCATGGCCGAGCAGGGAATTGAACCAAGATCTGACACTCTATCTACTAGACTACACTGGTTCTCATAAAAGATATTATACTAATTATATGCTGTCAAGATAATTCTGATTTATGGTGACACTTTCCAAGGTTTTCTTGGTATAGAGTACTAGGAAGTATTTCACCATTCCCTTCTTCTGGGGCTGTTTTGGGACTGTGCAGATTGTCCAAGGTTACATAGGTTGACTCTTCTCCGAAGAGGCACAGTGGAGAATCAAACACCTGACTATGCTCAACTTACTGATCTCTTTAGGTTATATACAGCTCTCTATTTTCAGGTATAGTATTTACAAGAAAAGTAGCAACTAAAACTATAGTTGTAGGCTAGCACTACAAGTACAAAAGTTGTGCATTTATTAGAGGTACAAACAAAATGTAGCCCTTGGAGATGTCCGGCTATGATGTCTACCAGCTCTAGTCAGCATTTTCATTGGTGAACAACAGTTTTACATGCAGTCTAACAACATCTGAACTGCCACATTTGGCCCAACCTAATCAATATTGTTGCTATTTCTTTGGGACTCAGAAAAGTGAAAAATTAAGGCTTTACTTTTTGAGGCATGAATTTCAAATGCAATTAAGAAAAAAATTAATATATCCTACATCAAAGGATGGTAAACATGATAACAAAATTAAATTGGCATTTACATTTGTAAGCTTAGCAAAAATTCACAAATCAAAAATACACATGCCTCAAATTATAGGCTGAATGAATCAGCAGGAAAACTGGAGAGAGAAGAGTGTTATGTTTGTGTTTCATTAAACATATTTTTAATCACACAGATAAAAGCCGGTCCAGCTGGCATACTATTTCATATGAAAAGACCTTTTTGTTCCCCCAAAAAACTAGTTAACCCTGTTATTTTAGTTCCTTTTCATTTCGTTTGTCCAAATAGAGCATGTAAGAACAGCTGTAACACACAGTCTTCTGTGTTAGCAAGGTCTTCTTTATATTCTTCAGTGTTAAGGACAGCTGCATAAATATCTCCACATGTCACATGCAAAGTTTCAAGCAAAATTATTGCATTTTTGCTGTCATGGATAGGGAAAGACACCTGCAAGAATTTATGCATCACGTTTGAGAAAACAACTTAGCCAGCTTTTGTTAGAATGTAAAGTCAGACTTGTATATGGCATATATGGATTGTGCCATTTCCTGCTGCGCCTTACACAGCAAATTGTCTTGGGATGGCCCTTTAGGTAAATTTCTAACAACTACAGCTTAGCAAATTCTTGATGGTGCCTGAATTCTAGATACCAGTTTCTACACACTGCCTGAAATCCTCTTGGCTATGGTAATGACGCCTGGAGAAGGGTAATGATGTCATCAACAGGCACAATTGTTGGTAATTAAAAACTTCCTGCTTCTCTCCTGAAGCATTTTCAACTCCCATGTAACCTCTTCCATTGAAATCCATGAGACAGAAGGAAGAAGCCTTTAATTAAAAAAAAAAAAACCATCCTCCCTCTGCTCATGACATCATCACCTTTCCTCTAGCATAAATTATGTAACAGGATTTCAGGCAATAACATGGTCTGCCTATGTAATACTAATTTAATTGTAGACCCTGCACAAAAAATGGCAAAAGATACAAGCAGCAGCCAGTGCTTTCCCTGTCTGCTTTAAGCTACAGCCTAATCTACATTCCTGAATTCCAAACTGTGTACTACAGCCAATAAATATATTGCCAGCCCCAAATACATTATGTTAACCAGTTTCCCATAATACTTCTGACCATGTTTAACTAATTGTTTGTAGCACATTTATCTGCAAACCCAGTGGTAATAGTAATGTTTGTGAGAATGTGAATTTTGTTGTTGTTGTTAGATTGATACATTGATTTTTCCTGATAACAGAGAAATGACCATTGTATGTCTTTAAATGTGAGAAGAAAGCAGTACCCCATCTAGAGGAATTTAGTTGATTTTAGTTGCAAATTAGGGTATTTTAGTGGAAAGCTGAAATGCAATGTACCTTTCTCCAGAAAATAACAGAAGCAGGAACACACAGGATGATTAAAATGGGTGATTTAAAGAGACATTCCCTTTTTGGGGGCAGGGAGTGAAAAGCCACTCCTTCCTAGTACATCTTTAAATTGCTAAAATTGTTGTTATTTACATGAATACACTGGAAGCATTAATGTCAGGTCAGAGATTCTGATGCCTGAACCTCTCCCTAAGAGACCTACAGAACTTTATAAACCTCTAGGGGAAAATAAGAAGCCTGTGTTCCTCAGAATCCCTGACTTGACATTTGGACTCTGAAAAGTCCTACATGCAGACAAACCAGCAGATGATTCAGAATGCATGCCGTGCCTGCTCAACGCATCTGAAACATGTCGATCTTCTCTTCGTTTGCTACTGTCTCTGATCTGGCGGTTTTCCTAATTTGTTTTGACAAGACTGACAGGTCTATTCATAACAAAAAGGGAAAGTAGAGAGACAATAGATATAGATCCCCAGTTATGCTGCTTTTTCTGTTAATGCTGCATTTCAAAATAAAATATGCACAAAG